CGCTCTCCGCCCACGGAGCCGGGAGAGGAGCGGCGGACGGGGGCGGACACCGCCGGAAACACGCGGCCGCGGCGGCCCGGACCGCCGCGCCCAGAAAGACACGACGGCCCCGTGCCCGACCCCGGCCCCCCCCCAGACCGGCGGGGCCCGTCCTGACGCTGTGTCCGCGCCGCAGGCAAAGTGCCCGGGGACGACTGCCCGCTGGTGTGGGGACAGTGCTCGCATTGCTTCCACATGCACTGCATCCTGAAGTGGCTGCACTCGCAGCAGGTGCAGCAGCACTGCCCCATGTGCCGCCAGGAGTGGAAGTTCAAGGAGTGATCCCCTCCGCCCCCGTCCGCCGCTCCTCTCCCGGCTCCGTGGGCGGAGAGCGGCGGTTTCCCTCGGGCTGTGCGGCGGGGGCGGGCGCGGCCATAAAGAGGCGGCGGCGGCGTTCCGGAGCGCTGCGCTCCGTCTGGCACGATGCGCGCCACCCGCTGCTTGGTTCTGGCCGTAGCCGTGGCGCTGCTCTGCCGCCCCGCCGCATCCTGGTACCGGCAGGCGGCCGCGCCCCTCTCCTACCCGGTGGGCAGAGCCTCGGGACTGCTTTCCGGTCTCCACCGCTTGCCCTACAGCCGCCGCTCCGACAGCAAAGTTGCTGCCCAGCGCCGCCCCGCAGCACTCCATATCGGACTCGCTGCTCCGCTCCGCGCCATGGTGAGTACCAGGATGCTCTGGTCATGGAACGTGCTGGGACTGGGACTGCCCACCTGTGGGGCTCCGTGGGCAGCCCCACTCCAACGTTCCCACCCAGGAACATGGGTCTCTGTGATGCTCTCCCTACAGGTGCCATGTGTGACAGATGTGAACCCCAAGCTACGGAGCTGCCGGCTGCTGCCGGGGGTCCCCGGTGCTCTCCAGTGCAGAGCGGCTGTGACTGTGTCCTTGGTCTCCACGGAGTGTGCAGGTGCCTGAGGCAGCACTGTGGCTCTACAGTAACAATAAATGTGCATGGAATAGAGAGATCTTGTCTGTCCTTGAGGGAATAGAGGTGCTCCTGGAAGCCCTCAGGGCTGGGGGGAGCCCACCAGGATCTGGGGTACACGGGGGGGCCCTGCCAGATACATGCCCTGAGAAGCAGTGCCCACCCAGGACTGTGTGGGTAAGAGCTTCGGTAGTGCCACGGGTACTGGGGGACAAAGCCCAAGCTGAAGCTCCGTTGCTGAGCTGAAGGCAAAAAAAAACAGTGCAGGGAGAGGGAACGCTTTGAAACCGAGTGTCAGAGCTGGAACACTGCCCACCTTGGTTGGACAGATGGGCACAAGGATCCACAGTGGGAAGTGGGGATCTGCCAGTGCTTGGAGCAACCCAGCTCTGAGCACAGTGCCTGTGAGCAGAGCTGGTGCAGAGGGAAAGTCTCTTTCACATGGCTGATAAGCCCCTACCCCTCCCTGCCATGTCTGCAGTTCTCTGAGCAATACAGGAGATGTATCTGAAGCTGGGGGAGGGAGGGGGGTTGTACCTAGCCAAGCCAAACTGAGGAAGGACTTTATGCTGGGGTGGGGGATGCCATGGACTGAGATCGGGGGGATCCACACACTGACCCCACACAAACCCAGCACTGCCACTGCTGAGACCTCAGCCTCTAGGTTCACACATCTGTAAGAACTCATGACAGCACTGGCACAGCCTCAACCCTGCAGTCCAACTGTCCCTAGAGGGGCAGGGATGGTACTTTTGGGTGCCCTTGGCTGTTCCCATCCCCAGCAGAAAAATAACTGTGACTGCAACCAGCAAATTACCGCCCCAGGAGGGGACCTGCTACCCCCATCTTTGCCTGCAGGCAAAGGCCCAACCCCAGGGTGCTCAGACTGGGCTCTGGCAGCAGGACCTGGGTGCAGCAGTACCCCAATGGTCACCACCCCCAGCCAGGGCAACACCCTGCAGCCAAGCATGCAGACCCAGGCTCTGGAGCCCTTGAGTAAGAGATGGGGCTGAATTGTCTGCAGACTGATTCAGCCCCACGCTGTGAAGGTGCCTCCACCCCACCGTGCCCCCACCCAGGGTCCTACACAGCCCCAAATACCCAGCACCGCTGCCACCACTCACAGCACTGCGCTTCACAGGGGCAGCTGCCTTGGGGTTGATGCCGGAGCCGAAGCTCTGAGCTGCGCTTGGGAAAGGAAGGAAAAAGAACAAATAAAATAACAAATGAACAAAAAAATACCCACAAAATTACTCAGTCAGTCACAGATTTTAAATTCATTTAATTTATTTCTTCATTTTGACTCCACACTCATTGTTGCCCTCTGGGACTCTTGGGATGTGAGCAAATGCAGACTTGGAAGGAGAATTAAAAGGGCCCACAGGCACCTGAGGTAGGAGATGTCATGTGCAAAAGTTTTCTGCTTAGAAATAGCAGTGAGCAGCTGCACATAATGCCACTCACCACACACCCATCTGAGCAAGCGAAGCTGCAGCTTCTCTGGCAGTTAAGTGACACCGGCAGGCACGCATCCGTGCACCAGGATCAGAAATGGAATGGTTTTGTCATTTTTTAATAACAGCAGTACCTGCGTTGGTGCTGGGGGCGGCTCATTGCATGCAGATGCTCTCAGCCTGGGGTCAATTTGTCACTGAGGCGGAGGTGGTTGTGATGATGGCTGCACGGTGCTGCTCGGCAGTGGGGAGCTGGGGGTCAGCGAGGCAGAAGCCTCAACTCTGAGAGCAGCATGGGACAGCAGAGCAGCAGAGAAGTGGGTCAGACCCAACACTGGGGACTAGGGCGAACCCACTGCTCCCATCAGATGTGCCCAAGGAGCTCCGGGAGAAGACAGGAGCCCCACAGTTCTCCCATTCCCACCCCATGGGGAGGCCGAGTGCTCCCACACGGGTGGATGGTTTGATCTCGGCAGCACCTTGTGACAGATGACACGTTCAATTATGCAGATGGCACTGATGTGAGGCCTTGAGGCTCTGCAGCCCATCTGCACAAACTGCGGGCAGGATGGACCCCGCAGGGCTGCCTGCACATCACAGTGCACCGAGGCACCAGGAGAATCTCAGCTGCGTGTCTGTCACAGCTAATGCAACTGCCAAAGTCAGGCACCCAGACTCGAGGACAAAAGAGACCAACAGACAACTCTTCAACGTTTTATTAATGATCAGCAACAGAAGTTTACAACAGAGGACAAAAGAATGGGCATGGAGGGGATGGTACAGCACAGTGCAGGGAAAGGCCGAGCACAGCACCCTGGAATGTACGAGGCAGAGAAGGGCTCAGCCCAGCACCCAGCTCTTCCCAGACCTCCTCAGGCCCTGCAGAGCCCCGCAGGAGATAAACGTGCTGCACTTCAACCCTCACAAAATAGCAGTAGAATTCCAGCCCACAGGGTCACTCGTCCCAGTAACATCTGTCAGGCACAAGGTCGCTCCGGCAGCAGCAGCAAGCACAGCCCCAGGCACAGCCCATGGGGAGCACTGAGTCCTGCTCATCTCATGGCAGGAGAAGCTGTTGGTAAGAGCCCCCTGTATGCTCCAGCCTTGCGCAAGAGAAATTCCTCAACTCACCAGGGAGAACATCAGGCCTGAGAGGCTCTCTGTGCCCCCCCAGCAGATGCCAAGCTGCTGCCTGTCACTGTGAAGTAAATGATTCACCGGCACTGGGCACAGCTGGAGAAAGGCTTTATCTAGTTAAACCAGCAGCAGTTTGGGTCTGGAGTTTGTGTAGAGGCAGCAGCCAAGAAGCACCACCAGCAGGAGGCACAGCGATGGGCCTGGCCTCCCCAGCCCAAAGCTCACAGAACTGCTGGGCTGTGTGCGTTCGCCCTCCAGTTTGCACCACTGCCCGAAGGGCTGCTCCGAAATGCAGACTCTGATCAGGACAGCAGAACGTGGATGGGGGCAGGAGGGGCCTGAGCAGCTGCTCCATTTCCAATCTTCTAAAAGCCAGAAATGGCAGAAAGTAAAAGCACATCAACATGTTAAAACGTTAGTTATAATTAAAAACATTATTTTTTTTGTTTTCCTTGTCTCAAATCTTCTCCTGGAAAAGGGAACAGTGGCTGATTAACAGAGGAAGAACTAGGCAACAAGATCCCAACTCATTATGTCTGCATAATTAGTGCAGGACAGGGCAGGGCAGCACATCCTGAGCACACCGGCAGTGCTGCCCTCGCTCAGTCCTTCCCAGAAGAGCTCCCTGCTCCTCCAGAAGGTGACGCTGCGGCGTTCTGTGAGCAACGCATTAGCTCCCTGCTGGTCTAATGCTTCTCCTCCTCCAGTCTCTTCATGGCCTCCAATACTGCCAGCTCTTTGGCTTCCTTCTTCTGGTTCCTGGCTTCAAACTCCAGCCTGCATCAATCATAAAACACCATCAGTCTTATCCAGACTTTACCTTTAGGAGACTAAAACCACCTGGAACAGGAGAGTGTTGCCCTCTCCTCTGCAGTTTTGTTCTGTATTTCAGAAGCCCCATCACGACCCACCACCCTCCAATTTGAGAGCCAGCTCTGAGAGATTTCCAGGGGTGCCACGATCACTCAAATCCTAGGCTCCCACTCTGCTCACACCACACTTAGTTCACTCTCTGCAGAAGATGCTGCTATTCCACACTTGGTCTGTCCTGAGCAAACCACTTAATGCTGCAACACCAAATTCAAACTGACAACTGATCTGAACTGGGGTCATTGGAGGTGAAGGGCTCAAGCTTAAAAGAGCAAAGCTTGCAAAGAAGCAGTATGCTGAATCCACAAGAAGACAGCACGGAAATATCTTCACTGATAGAAGAGGCAAAGCAATAAAACATGCTGTGAAGCACATTCTTTTGCAGAACAGTTCAGCTATTCCTTTTCCTATATGGTCTGGTAAATTCACAATGAAGCAGCCCACCAAAAGTTCCAAAACAAAGCTACGGAAGAGGAAGGACCACGTTCACTGATTTCCTCTTCTGTGCCTTAGTTACTCCCTTCTTCTTTCTGCTCAATCCCATCAATCAGTCCTCAGACAAGCAGGACTGAACAGAACTAAGAGATGAAGAAAGCCAACCTGTTCTTGATGATTCTCTGCACAATTAAATCTGTGGTGAGATTGCTGCCACTGTCCACGAGCTGGAAAATGCCACGTCTCTTCGGTTCCTGTGGACAAACACAGCAGATTTGTCTGCAAGGAACACGCAGGACCTCCAATTTACAGCTCGATAAATGAGAGCTGAGCAGAGGGTCCAGAAGGCCCTGTGGGTGCTCAGCCAGGCACAGCACAAGATAATCTCCTCGGATACAGACTGAATTACTGCCAGAAGCAAAACGTAATGCAGTCAGGAGCTGAGCGAGGGATTGGCACCGAGCAAGGATCACTAGATTTCTCATTCTGCCATGAAGGTATGGAAAACAGGCAAAACAGTGACTAAAAGAATGGGGCTGTTGTGGATGATACAAATAGCTCCCTGAGGGGTGGGTAAAAACAGAGCCAGCTGCCCAGGATGTGCTGGTAGCAAGCACTGCCATTCACATCTCAGCCCAGGAGCATGAACAAAACCATACCTGTCACTCATCATGACAAAGCACAGGCTGCAGTAGTTGGCACCTTACCTCATATGGATCAGAACCATCCTTGTCTGGAACCACCTCAGTCATCCCATGACACACAAGAGTTACCTAGAGAGAGGGACAAAGTCACTGACACCATCACATCCCTCCAGAAGGTGACAGTAACTCTGCCACTCACTAAGCAGAGGTGGGACAAGAGGAATACCAACAGCAGAACCTGGAGGCTCAGACTCCAGCCAGAGCTTCCCTAAACACACTGAGCAGAACCCTTCATTGCTCTGCTGCTCTCCAGTGCCATTTTAGTTCTCTATGCACATCGAAACCCAACATCCTTGTGTACATCCATACACAAAGACTCACCTTGAAGTGATCCAGCAGATCAGCAGTGACAGCATAGGGGGCTCCAATCACCACTTCTGAGACATACTACAAAACAGAGAGTTTGGGTTATTATTAGGGTTGGTTGGTTGGT